TGATTGTTTGAAGCTTCATAAAGATGTTTTTGATGTTTGGTTCTTTGTTTAAGATTAAGGTGCTTTTACTTTTTAATAATTACACAATGGTTTTATTGAGTTGAACTGTTTGTAAACATTATTTATTTATTTATTATATTTACCAAATAAAATTGTCATCAAATCAGATAAGTTAATTGTTTAGTGGGCATAGGAGATGATTGTAAATACTTTGATGACTCAAATTTCTGTTTAATATTATTTCTATGATTATCCTATTTAAACAATGTAGATACATAAATCTGTAACTGGCTGCTTAATTATTTGTAATTTCGATCATGATATGTTTTAAATAAACACATTCTTACTCATATTAGTGGATAGTACAACATGTTTCCAATATGATATCTTACCTCCTCTCACAAAATAGCATTTCTCAATTAGTACTGCCCTCTGTCGGTGCAGATTTTTAATGCATGCCACTAGCCGGGTATCCTCCTCCTATTGTGGCCTAGAAGAACCTTACCCAAAGCTGCCAGGTTTTGGACCAGAGATGCACCCCAGGTTTGTAGTCCCTCTTCCTACCATCTACTGGGTGTTGGATCCTGACATATCTGGTGTTGGTTGTAGCTGGACGCATCACATGTATTCCCACTTGGTTATGGCTGGATATCCTCCTCCTACTGTGGCCTAGAAGAACCTTACCCAAAGCTGCCAGGTTTTGGACCAGAGAAGTCATCCCACCGGGGCTTTCCTCCTTCCTACCATCTGTCAGGATGTCAGTTTGTGGTAAATCAGGTAGCAATCGGAGTGTGACACAACTCCTATCATAACCAGGGCCCTCTCCACACTTGCATTCATTAATCACTTCGAGATTGGTCAGAAAACCTACACCACATATCACCAGAAGTGAGGAGACTGGGTGTGAAATGTGAGAGGATGGAAGTATCTATCAAAAAAACATTTTCAGTTCAGAAAAATATTAACTTCCAATACAATATCTTACCCCCATTCACAAAATAGCTAGAATCCCACACTGAACTGGTGAAGGTCTGGTGAAAAAATTATCCCTCTTTAGAAAGCACCCCAAGAGAAACCATGAGGTGTGGAACCACAAAAGAAAATATCACATCTCAGTGGGAGACTGCACCACATCTGATCCAGATATACTCTTCACTCTTTTATGACTGTGTCGCAAACATAAAAGGCAAAAAAACATGAAGGAATCCAATCATTTGTATTACCGATTAATGGGATGCTTGGGTGTCGATTGGCTAGGGCACAACAGACCGTAGTGGTGGTTTGACCTCATCTAATACCTGGCCGAATGTGAAATGGTATATCAGCTCTGTGGTAGGAAAAGGATCACCTACCTCTTCACCACGAAACTGGAATTGGTAGGGAAGACAAACTTTTGTACCAAAATTTATCTCCTCTTGCATGCATTTCCAACCCAATCAATGAGAGCTGCTGCATAATCATTTACATGTGAATATGTAGAAACGGGAGGTGGAAGTATAGTGGCAAGCATTGAAAATTTGTGCCAATAGAGGGCAATACTGATTAAGAAAAGCTATTTTGTGAGAGGAGGTAATTATCTATCAGAAGTATACTTTCAGTTTAGGAAAATGTTGACTTTCATTGTGTAATTGTTAGTTTATTTGATTTATAAAAAATCAGTGTGGGGTAAGTGTATATTTGAAAAGCAAACATAATGGCAACCTTATGGTAGTATTTAGTTGACATTTGTGATTCATTCCACAAGTAGAAACTGTTATAAAATGTGTGACACTACCTATCGTATGAAATCATGGGTAATTCAATAACTTTTTTAAAAGAACAAAACATTGTGAATGAAAATAAAGTAATACCATGATAGAATAATGCAAGAGTTTGTAACGAACTGAAACAAAATGTTGCTACAACCATGGTCAAACAGCGCTACAAGTTTTATTACAAAAAGTAATTAGTAAACCTGTGCCTTGCCAGGACTAGGTACAAATTCTAATAAACAATACAACATAAATCTTAGTGTTATTAATGTCAATAAATAAAAGAATTAGGAAAAAGAACCAGAAGAAGAAGAAACGCAATTCACCAAAAGAATAACACAATGTTCCAAAATTAAACCACTTCTCAAGATCAGTAACAATATTGAGCAGTAATTAGTAATAATTCTAACAATATCTCCAGGAGTAATTAACTCACTTAAGATCAAGGAAGAGTTTTTATTTAGTGGTTAGACCACAAGGTTACATCTCCTAACTAGCTATTACCATAAATCTACATAATCTTCTACAACATTAATAACTATGTGTCACTGCTAAGGGAAGCTGGTGTCAGTTTTATAATACATATATATATATACACACTCAATATCAATGTGTTCTAGCTGGAAGATGAGTTAGCACTTTAATGTAACTAAAAATACATAATTAAACTAAACGATAGAAGGAATATTAAATTAATGGTATGTATATGGGTGGGGGGGTCAAGTGCACCTGCCATAATCTCTTACAGAGTGACATTCAACATGATATTGCATATTTTAAGTCAGAGTTATGAACTGTTTGTTTTACCATACATTTCTGTTCATAGTAGAGTAAATACCAGATATAGTATACAGGGATACTGAAGAAACTGTAGGTATGCATTTTGGAGATTCCAGAGGCTATGCAAGTGCAATATGCAAAGTGAATGATGGACAAAAGTATTTGTGTTCTTCACATATATATTACTTTGCACTCTAATTGGTCTGAGTCAGACTGTCGTTGTCAGATCACAAACATATCTTGAGCACAAATATTTTCGTAACACATCAGATTTTTTGTGGACAGCTGACTTGTACAGTTTACTAAAAGCTTGCCACATTTCTTTTAGATACACATTGTAAACTTGGAATGTTAAGCAATACTAATTTTCCAGTATAGGATCAGTCTAACTGACCGACCCCATGAACATTCAGTTAAAAATCAGTGTGTGATTCATGAAAACAGTAATAACAAAATGAAAGAGGCTAGTGTGAGCACACTTCAGAATGACAAATTAATGTGTTTGTTTATATTTATATTTGAATGTAGGGAAAAAAAGTCACAATTTGAAAATTTGTTTATAATTTTTAAGTTCGTAGAAGTTAACGTATTGAATTATTCTTCTCATTCATGGGATGATGGACTTCATATATGCCTGAAAAGTGCACTTGTCAAGTAAACAGATTGTTTGTAGAGTGCTCTTTGATCAAAAAAGCATGACACTTTGAATCTTAATGAAGAAATGCTTACATTAGATGATGTGTTAGTAAATTAAATATATAATTACAAAATGTAAGAGGAGCCATGGAGGATCATAATCTAGACTGATCTTATGAGGTCAGGTTAGGCACCACGTTTCTCAGGTCAGATGTAAAGCCGTATTTTTCAGGTAGTGGTAAGCCAGGCGAGTAGCCTTGTTCATCATTTACTTTTTTATATACATCTCCTTGTACAACAGTTACGTAAGTTGTGTTATTAATGTATGTATGTCATGTACTTTTC